AAACACCCATCAGATTTTTCATTATACCTTTTACAAGATGCTGTTTTATACTGATTTCCAGCACTGCGCCTTTAAGGCGAGTTCTGCCCGCCTACTGTTTCTATGTGCGTTCCTGCGTGCTTTAATCTCCTCCCTCGGCTGCGTCAGTAATACTAATCAGTATTGTGAAGTTGCATTGATGAGTCACACACGATATCGTTACAAAGCGCGCACACACACACACACACACACACACACACACACACACACACACACACACACACACAGGCAGGCAGACAGACAGACAGACAGAGCGCGCTTAGCTTAGCACTGTTTTTGCACTCAAATGTGACAGGATACAGGCTAACCTCCAGTGCTGTGTGGATATCTGTTATGCTAATGTACAAAATAAACCTGATTTAACTTTCACAAACCAGGATTGAAGCGTCTTCTTTTATAATTGTTCTGACATGCGGCTGTGCTGATGAAGTAAAGCTGAAGTAAATCGCTGTAATTAATTACACACATGCACTGTTTTAAAACACTTTAAACATGTGAAACTTACTCTTAATCACATTTGATGATGATTGCTGATCCTAGCGAACAGAACAGACCTTTTATTCCCGGTTGCTTTGCGTTTGTCTGGTCTTGTTGACATGTACACGTGACTACCGGAACATGTTAATGCGCAGCTGTCACGCAGCTGTCAATCAATTCGGTGGGCAGGGGGACCGCACTCCTACGTAAAGTTGTGGTCGGTCTGAAAACCGATCTAATTTGTCCACCGTTGTTGTTAAATTGAAAAAAAAGGACAGGGTGTGTTTATATCACCCCAATATTATGGTCTATACACTATATATATATAAATATGTTTGTCCAAATAGCTCAAAAAGTAGATTTTTCACCATAGGTGCCCTTTAAACCATTGCAAAGCCTGTCCCAGGACACCTGTAAAATATAAGCAACCTATGAGAATATAATGATCTATAGTGTTGAATGCAGCACTGAGGTCAAGTGAAACTAGTAGCGAGATGTTGCCTCACTCAACAGCTAGGAGAAAATCATTGGATATTTTCACTATTGCAGTGTTTGATAACAGCTAGCTTGAAAGGGTTTGGAACATGGCAAGTTGTGGTTTCTTAGCAAGAGGCTTGATAACAGCTAGCTTGAAAGGGTTTGGAACATGGCCTAAAGAAGAAGGGTTGATAATGTGGCGTTGGAGAGACGGCGGTTGAATTGCAAGAGGATTGGCTGGATTGGTATATTGCTCGACTATGCCACCCTGGGAATTATTGGTCAGGGACCCCCATTACACAGTTATGCAAAAGTTTTAATACACACAGATTTGTTGTGGCTCAATCAGACTTCAGAACACAAAAATTTAATAAAGTTGATTCACATTTATTACAAAATCAGATTATTAAAACAGTACAAACACTTTAATGCATTCAAAACATTTTTTACTCAGCACTTCCTTCTCAGAACCGGGGCCACTGGGTTTTAGTGTTAAAGGCACACGCACACACACTCACACTCCCCACACCACCAGATGTGAACACAGCAGGCAAAGGATACACTAGTGATGGGAAGTTCGGATCATTTTTCTGACTCGGATCTTTGAGTCTCGTTCATCAAGATGAACGAATCTTTTTTCGAGTCATTTTGTTCAGTTGGTTCAATTTGCCAAAATATTATTAAAATGTTTCGAATTGCTTCCAAACACATCTACAACTAACCCAAAAGGTTGACTGCTCGACAAATATGTCATAACTAGAATACTATAAGAAGGAGAAAATAATAATTCAATGTTTACCTGCTCTTTTGTCTATGAAGGCATGTTGTCTCTTTGCTCAGCTCACCTCTTCATGTCTTTAAATGTCAGGGGTTCATTCACGTTACACTGACAGTCACATATAGGGCTTTATTTTGACGGTCCATGCGCAGAGCGCAAAACGCAGGGTGCAAACGCTTTCAGGGCTTGTCAGGATGTGTTTTTGCTAATTTAAGGACGGGAAATCTGCCTTGCGCCAAGGCGCATGGTCTAAAAGGGTTGAGTTTATTTTCTTAATGAGTTATAGGTGTGTTTTGAGAATAAACCAATTAGAGTCTCATCTCCCATTCCCTTTAAGAGTCAGCTGCGTCGCGCCAAGAGCGCATTCGCTATTTACAGGACGCAAAGTAAGTCTAAGTGGAAAAAATGAGCATTTCACAAGCAAACAGTTAACAGTTTTTTAACAGAAAACTGTTAAACAGAGCATCTAATGCGTGAGAATGAGAGATAAATCATCTACTTTCACTTTCGCTCTTGGATAGGGAAACCTTTACGCACAGACATCAATTAGCCTATAAATAATTAATTTCGTTTGTTAAGCGCAAAGATTTGTTTCAAAACTATTTCTAAATTCAGTTCTAATTTCTAGCAAACGAATAAATGAACAATAAAGACCAAGTGTGGTCAAAATACTGAGTTATTTCCAAATACACCTGCCATGCCACATATGGTCTTAAACCAGACAGGTGGGCAATTCTAAGCTTGTTTTTAATAAAACAAATATAGATATGGATATTAAATAATACTGCTAATAATAATATTATACAAAAGCAAATTGTTATGAATGAACTGAAAAAGCCTCCCGAGATGAAAAAGACATAAAAGCAGTGGTTTTTCATATTTATGTAGGCTAGAAAATAATATGTTTTGTAATATTTTAATCCTTTATATTTATATCCTATATCTATTCTTATTATATCCTATATATATCCTTAATATTTAATTTTTTTTTATGAGTAAAAATATTTGCCTATTGCTCTCTTGTGCGTATTAAGCAGTGCGTAAGCGAGGTGAAACTCTGCGCCGGAGTTTAGACCGGGTTAGTTTTGGTCTAATGAAAAATCTATTATAGTTTCTCAAATAGCAACGCGCCAGCGATCCGCCTCAGAACGCCTTCCTTTTTAGACCAGAACGCCTAGGGGCGCACAAATGAGCGCTAATGCATTTGCTATTAAAACAGCGTAGAGCAACGCCTCGAGAGGTAAACGGATCAATTCTTTTTCCAGCTCTAAACGCATATGATTGGCCTCTGCCAATGTGACGAAGACTTGAAATTAATGATACTACCTGCACAAATGTGTGCACGCGCGGATGAACGAATCACTCCCTCAGAGGACTCATAGCTCCCGAGTCATATTGAAGATTTGTTCAAAATGAACGAATCGTTCATGAACGACCCATCACTAGGGTACACCACCACCACACCACAGCAATTCCGCAACAGCGCACCCCAATTCTGGAGGAAGAAAAAACACAAGATAAAACCAGTACAAAATACAAACACACGCACACAAACACACTTTGGGAATACACTTAAAACAAGCACTCACAGCTTGGCTTATGACCAATCAATAAAACAGGGCAAACTATTGTCTTGTATCCAAGCATTTGAAAAAAAAAGTGTTAGAAGTTTTGTAAAAATCTGCAATTTTGTTAATGGTTGTGAATTTTGTGTCTAGACTTTTAAAAATTGATGTTAGGAGTTTAAAATTTGGACTAAAATGTTTGTTTAGGTCAGGTTGGATTTTGGGTCAAAATAAATAGATGTTAAGATCGAGATTGGTCATCCGGCAAATGGAAGAGTGACATACTTTATAATTTCTCTAAACCGCTGATTTTCATTCTAACGAAAAGTTGCATTTGTTAATTAACCCTGATTTTGACTGCCCATCAAATTGATCACACCTAGAAAGTAATAGAGTGTATTTGGCAATGAGGAATGACAGTGATGCATTCCTCTTCTTTACTTGTTTGATTTTTTTTCATATTTTAAAAAGCTTCACATGTTTGTTTTTGATCAAGGCAGTTTAGAATTAAATATTACTGTCAGATTCTATACAAAATCAAACATGTTATGGTACACTTTACATACCTGAAACTTGCCTACAGCACTTATTTATTGTTCCTCATATAGTTGTGTAAATTGCTTTCTTGTCCTCATTTATAAGTCTCTTTGGATAAAAGCGTCTGCTAAATGACTAAATTTTAATGTAAGGTAAATGTATAACAGTACAATATTTAAAATCCAACTTTTCTCAAATAACAAATTGAATTATCCTCATTCAGTTAGGAAAATATGTGCAAGCTAGCACTTTGTCTTAGTCAAGCACAACCAGCAAGTGATTTATGGCCTCCAGACATGGCCAAGAACAATTATGGATCATTAGCATATTATTACTTTTCTAGACTGACCACAGAGGCATCACATGTAAAGATAACAAATTTGGACCTCATAAAATAATTGCAGATTTATTCACAGTTCTGGTTTTTGTCTCACACTGTAAAACTGTATAGGGGTGACGCCTCACAGCAAGATGGTTGCTGGTTCAAACCTCGGCTCGGCTCAGTTGGCGTTTCTGTGTGGAGTTTGCATGTTCTCCCTGCATTTGCATGGGTTTCCTCCTGGTGCTCCGGTTTCCCCCACAGTCCAAAGACATGCAGTAAAGGTAAATTGGGTAGGCTAAATTGTCCGTAGGGTATGAGTGTGATGTTTCCCAGGGATGGGTTGCGAAGGAAGGGCAACCGCTGCGTAAAAAATGTGCTTGATAAGTTGGCCGTTTATTCCGCTGTGGTGACCCCGGATTAATAAAGGGACTAAGCCAAAAAGAAAATTAATTAACTAATAAATGAAAGAGTGTAAGTGCTACACGATTTATACCCATAAAAGGATGGACTGTGAGGAGATCTGTTAAAGTTGCATCATCTGTTGTATCAAAAACTGTTAAACCTTTTTTTCCTGGCAATCCATACTCAGTAAAAAAATCCTTAGCAACTTTTAATAATCTAATTATAAATATGTTTACCAAGCCAGACTGAATTATAACCACAATTTTAAATAATAATAAAAAAAACAATAGCCTAAATATTTTCTTGATTTGTTGTAATAAAGCACTATTGTTGTGGAAAGTTGCACTGGATCTCGTCAAACATCTTCTAAGTTTCAAAAAAGAGGCTGAGGTCTTCGAAGTTGTCAAGTTGAAGCAGTTTATTGTTACAGCAGAGTTGGTCGATCGATCTCTCTCCTACAAATGTTCCAAAACCCACAGTTTATATACATGTTTTTCCTATAGTCATCATGAAACAGTGGTGTAGCATGAGCATCACGTTATTTCCAGGCTCCAATAGGATTCTAGCCTTTATATTGATGGCTGTATGTTTTTCTGTTTTTGCACATCTTAAAGGTCATATTTCAACACTTTTTAAATGATTCTCCCTATGCATGCTTTTGCCATGCAGGTTGAGCAAAGTTGTTTTTAAGTTGTTTTTGTCATGGTCAATACATCAATACATGTTGCATATGCTGTCTGAATGGTCTTACTTCACCGCTGTTTACTTCTGTGTGTTTTGCTCTGCATCACTTGAATGTATTTCTATATGTTTTAACAGTGTATTTTAATAGTGGCAGATTATACAGTGATTATATAGTGATTACATAATAAAAGTTCCTCTATAATTCTCCTAAATAAATCCCCCCTTAAGGACTTAATCAAAAAAGTCCTTTTCCTAAATCCCTCGCTGAAGTGCAACTTAAGAATCCAACACTTGCAAAGTCTTAACATACTTGTGCAACCAAAAAGTTGCCCATCTACATCCTTATCAATTGTCAGCATCCTTCCGCCGCACTTCAGAGGAGAAACAGAACCAAACATCTCCCTCTACTTTTGACTTTAGAAGGAGTAAAAGATCCCGCTCTCCCTAACTGAATACTTCCTTTTTGGGGAGTTCAACACACAATAATCATTAGTCAGGTTAAAAACATATGCTTGTCAGCCTTGCTCACAGTTGTGGGTATACATCATATATACTTGATTAATCATCATTTCATATAAATCATATAGTTGTAGAATATTCTCGGCGCCTGTAAAAGAGCCATGATGTTTTATCCCACGTCGCCAGGGGTACTTCTGAGTACTGTCTGGTGTTGGAGCAGACAGTGGGTTTTTAAACCGCCAGTAGAGTCTGCTCTTCTGCATCTCTTGCCATTGGATACCAAGGTGTCCCTTGACCATAATCATCTTCCCTCTTTCCCCGTGTGCATCTGATATGAGCTCCGGCAGCTTCGATGAACTCCTAAATACATACAGAAATGTATACTAGTAAATAGGGCTTAAATAATCACACAATTTTTCAGTTTTTAGTCCACTCTGTTAGTTTTTTTTTTTTCTTTTTTTTCTTGTATTATGGATTGTGCCTTGCTTAAAACTCTCATCCATTAAAAATTAGTAAAATGTTAGAAGTCCAAAAAAAAATTAAAAGACAAAAAAGAAATTTAAAGTAGAAATTGTTTTTAAAACTCATCCAACTGTTCCAAATCTAGCCCAAAGACTTCATAGACATGGTCTCTGCAGTCATGCACAATTCCATTCACTTGCACATTGGTTATCTGCTTGACAGCAGCTTTAACCAGCATCAATCTGAGAAAAGGCACAACACAACAAAAGAGAAGGACAAAAACAAGTAGAGCAATTCCTATGAATATTCCAATCTTGATTATCCATTGTCTCCATGATCCAAATACAGAAGCAAACCAGTCACTTAAGTTCTTATCCGCTCCAGCATTTTCTTTTACTTCTTTTCTCAGGTTTTCCAATTTCCGCATAGCTTCCATGAAAGATCCACCTGGGGCAGTATTATTTAGGATATAGGTGCAGCAAATGGTGCACTGTTTTGACAAGCAATTTTACTTGTCAGAGCCAATTGTTCTCCTAATGCTGTTAGGGCATCATTTGTGTAATTTATAAATCTTTGTTGGTTGTAAACGTAGTTAGCCCATTCTTAAAATTTTCCCATTGCAATTATACACACTACTATAACCCCAAGTCCTGCTTTTACTATATCTCTTACTTTAAACGTATCTGGTATTCCACTAGGTTGGCCAATTGTATCTATGTAAACTTCTGAGTCAGGTGTATATTGTCTCTTAACTTTATGCTTATAATTCTGCTGCTTTCAATGCTTTGGTCTTTCTAGGTCATCTTACTCTTTAACCCAATCATTTATCACTTTCTGTATTAGTTTAACTCTAGTGCAAATTCCTTTCCAATTTAAAGGAAGTGTGGGGCGTAATATTCCTCTTCCGCAGATCCAGTAATAGTTAGCTACCTGTTCATCTTGTTGTATTAAGGGAAATCGTTTTGGAAATTTAACATTTTGTTCAGTACAATTACCAAATGTACGATTAACCGCCTTATTATTTTTCCGAATAATTGCACCTTCTGAAACTGGCAACATTATACTCTTTATTGTAGCTGTAGCCATTTGGAAGGTTTGCATATAAGCATTTCCTTTTTTCCTACATTTCGTTATTCAAATGCCAAATTATTGCACAATTTCCTTTAAATTTTCCTACATTTTCTAATCCTCTTGTTTGATTATAACATTCATATTCTAATTTCTTATTTATCACTTATTTTGTGGGGATCTCTCTTACTGCTGGTTGAACTCTGATGTTCATTTCTTTACAGTGTTTTTTCAACCTATCATTGTTTTCTAATGTAAATTTGAAGTTTCCTATAGTATCAAGACATCAAGCCTGGCAAAACAGTGAGTCACTGTATGGTATATTGCAGTTATTTTCCTGAATTTTGCACAATGTCTAAAATCATAAAGATTTACAAGCACTATAAGCTTTATAGAGGCTATTATAAACATATTAGACAATTGGATATTTGTAATTTTCCAACTGTGTATTTGTACCAGCAATACCAATCACTGTTTTTAGTTTCTTCTAAGAACTGATCATCTGAGATCTGGTCAGTCAATTTCTACATAAATCGCATATGTATCAGTTTGATTCATGCATATCCTCTGGGTCGGCATTTTTCTTTAGATGATTGTTCTTTATCTTCATTTTGTTGTGGGATATTTGCCTCTTTCCAAAAAATTAAGAAGACAATTGTTTGATACTCTTGCCCAAATCTGTCAGATTGGAATAATCCTTTACCTTTGGAGAAGTTACCTCTAGGCTTTCACTCATCTTTATTTGCATCATCAGCAGCAGCAACAGCAGCAGGAAGATCTTCCAAAACAGTTTCCTTCTGTCGTTCCCTGTTCTGTTCCTGTAAATAAATAACTTCATACATGGCAGTTAGTTTTTCTTATTCGACAGAAATTCTTATGTGCCATTAGCAGTTCCATGCAGTGTTCCTGTTTCTGTTAGTTTACATAAAAACTCATTAAAGCATCAGTTTACACATCAGTCCAGTTTACCAATCCAAACTCAATCAGGTTTACCATTTTTTACGTTTTTCAAAAAAGTTATGGCCTTAATAGATCTTCTTGGTGCCTTTGACCAGTTGTTGTGATTGTGCTTGATAAACTTCACTCTAGCCTTTGATTCATTCTTAATTAACAGTACTTTTTTAACTGTTTTATTTATTTATTTGATTATTTATTTAATCACTTATTTACTTATTTAGCTATTTTTAAATTACTTTAATTACTCAAAATTTATTAATGCACAATAATTATTTGAAATTATTTCTGATGATAGTCCAAATCTAAGAATGGATGTTTTTATTCATGAGAAATATAGTTAATCATCACAACCAGATTTTAATCCCAACCTGTTAAGTAGTACAAACATGTATTTCTTGCCTTGTACTCGTTTTAATATAACCTCAAACCCTCATTACTAAATGCTTAAAAATCACTTCAGGTACTGCTCGCTGTTCCTTCCCTCACATTATATTTAGCATAGATGTCACATGGACAAAACTCACTAAGCACTGCATTCGACTGATACCAATCTCCTTGCTGTTTAAGTTTTCCTAATACTTCACCCTTGATCAAATTCATGTGCATCGACAATAAGTATACTTGGAGATGCTGTTGGCACAACAATTAGTCTTTTATGTATATAGGCTATTTCCCCCCTTTCATGCTAGATTGTTCACAGAGACTTTTTTTGTTGTTTAATTTTCACAATTTTCTTCAATTGAGATTGTAGCTTTATAAGCACTATAGATGACTTGCTACCTCATATTCTGTCACTTGTTTAACTTTCAAACCTGTATTGTTTCCTTTAATGATAAACTAATTTTTCTTTTATCATCTCAAATGCCTTCATTGAATCTGTGTTTCCTGTTAATTTAGGGCCTTATTTTTGCAGTCTTTCCTGTTTCATAAATTTTCTTTAGTGCAGTTTGTTGTAAAATTCTCTGTTCCATCAATGCTAAATTTCAGTCATCCCTAAAAGTCATCATGTTTTCTGTTAATTTAATTGAGCTAGAGCTATAAGGAGCTGCTGATATTCAAATCAACTATATAGTGTAACTATAGTGTAATAGTGTAAATATAGTGTAACACACTACTGTTCATCATAAGATCTTCAGACTCTGTGTATGTATAATTTTCAGCAGCAAATGAAAATACTAATAGGTACCTATCCTCTTTTGCTAATTACCTAAACTTGGCTGAACAGAAACTAATTATCAACAATATTTGACATCAGGAGGAACATTTGTTCATAAAATGTAGGAACTTCAGTTGACAAATTTGTCTCTCATTAATTTTTCTTATATCTTCTGCTTTTTACCTGCTTTGATGCAGCATAATTATAGTATTTATTCAATTTAAATTCAAATCCTAATAATTACATACACTGTCATACCTGAATTGAAATATAATCTAAATAGAAATATCCAACGACCTATGTGTTGCATATTATAATCACTAGGTGTTAATACTCCCACTCTTAATAAAACTTCAATTTTGTTTTTTATACCTATTTTAGCTTTTTTCTTCTTTTCTCTGCAGATGTGCATTTAGTTTAATTTTAACCCTCACTGTACTGGTTAATTTTCTCTTTCTAAATCCAAGTCCTGCAATGATAATAATTCTTTAAGTATTAACTGTACTTCTTCAAATCTTTTTGAACTATTTGTTCATTTGAATGTTGCATTTATTTATTTTTCTCTAAACTTCTCTCTATTAATATTTACTTTCGAAGGCAACCCATCTACTTGATTGTATACACATCTTTCATGTAATTTTTGTAAATTAACTGAAAAATCATTTAATGTTTTTGTTCTGTTTTGCTTTACTCTTTAGTCCTCAAATTTAGTTTCCATTTTTTACTTGTATGGATATATGAAACAAAATCTATTACATTAAACCCTTTTTTCCCCAAATCATATTTTACTACACTTAGAGCTTTTCACTGTTGACCTATTTTCTTGTGCCGTTCTTTTTCCTTCAATTTCTTCCTGGTAATAATTTTCTAAGTCTAAATCTCTTTTAAAACTATAAATTTGCATAGACAAATTCTTCTTTTTACTAGCCCTGCTTCAGAAATGTTTTAACTCAATCTATTTTCCCATTATCAATTGTCTTAATTACATCTTCTATCTGTTTTCATTAATAGATATTATATTTTTATTTCATAATCCTTATTTAATTCAAACTTCTTTTACTAAATGTAAAGTCCTATTTTATAAAATAACTTTCTAACTAATCAATTGACAGGAGTCTGATTTGATACAAGAAAGGCTACACTTTTGTTTTAATTTGCAACATACTTGATTTGGATCATATGTCTACTGGGCTTTTGAGATTGAGTTTGCTAGGCCATAGCCAATCTCTCTCCCTCAAACCCCAAGGCAACTGTTCCATAGATGGTGCAGTCTTTCCATTGTTGTATTCAGGAATCCCCACATTTCCTGCTTATTTAAGGAGTTAAAGTGTTGAGCATTTCTCCTCCCTCTTGGTGCTGGCTTCTCTTTCACCCAGCTGATGTTGCTGGAAAGTTTAGCTTTTTTTGATCAGTTCATCAGTCTCTTGTTTCTCCTTCTTTAAGTGTCTTTTGAACATATGTCGATGGGTCAAAGTCTCTGTAGCTTTTTTGCACGCAGTGCCTGGCTCACTGCTTTTAGTTCATGTGATAAGAGTCCACAGTCAACAAGTTGCTCCTTGTGTTTCTCAAAACACCTTAATCTATTTCCCAATGCCTTCAGGGATGTCAGGCAGGCGAAAAGGCTAGGACCCTTCAAAGTCCATCTCCTTGCCCCTTAATTTAATATAACAATTTGCTTAGTTAATAATCTAAGCATTTTTCCACTTTCCCAATTTTCCTTCATCAAATAAAGACTCCTCTCATCTATGTTCTTCTATTTGCTGTCCAATAGTTAATTCTTCTTAATATTTATTACTAAGTCTACTTTATCTTTTTAAATTTTCTGTTTCTTTATTTTTCTTCTAATTCCTTTCTTTAGCTTCAGCTTGTGTTTTTTTCCCCTAATCTATTCTAGTGTTTTCCCACTAGTTGGCCTTTCTTTACATTGTTTGAATTTCTCTAACATTTTCTAAATCTGTTTCAATTCTATAGTACATTTTCTCACTCTTTTTTACACACTCATCTCTTTAGTTTTAACCTTTCCCTACTTGCTTTTCATCCATTTTAAGTTCTTTTGCTACTTCCATAATTTCCCTCTGTATTGGTCATTGACCCATTGTCCTCTCTCTCTGTCTCTCTCTCTCTCTCTCTCTCTCACACACGCACAGCTTACATCAAATGTTCCTTCCTTTTGCCATTATTTTCTGTTCTGTTCTCTCTTAGATGAGTATCTTATATATATTTATATATATATATTATATATATTTTTTTTTAAATCCTAATTCTAATATTTTCTATGATGTGTTATTCCCCTCTGTTCCTAAATGTTTACTTTTTTAATTATTACTTTATTCTTTTATATAACACATAATCTTCTTCCAAATTGTATTTACTTTATCCTATTTATCTTATACTATTTTGCAATATACACTTTTACACCTCACTAATATTAAATCAGATGCTATTATTCCCTAAATTAAATTATATTCTAAGAACTTAAATTATGATCTCTTTGTATGCACATGTCAACTTATGTTATATACTTCTCCTTAATTTACTATAATTTTTTATATCTTTCTATTTGAACTAAATTTATTTATTTCCTAAATATTATAATCTCTTCCTTAAACTGTATCAATCTCTTCTATATTTTTCCAATATATATCATATACCTCTTCTATATATATATACCTCTTCTATATCACACAATACCTGCAGTCCAATATTATATTATATATATAATATTATAATATTATAATCTACAATAATGATTATTTTATTTCACTATTTATCACAATTAAACTACTAAACACAAACAGTTAAACACACTCTCACATTCTAGTCCTTCACATTTAGAGGACTCATTCACTCAACATTTGTCCCTTTATATCTACAGGGCTCATTCAGTCATTCATTCCTCTCAGTGTAACACAGAGAGCGTCCATCTCTGCCATGCTCTATTTAAGGGATGGTGCAGGAGGGCGGCTTTGCTTGTCCACTAATATGGAATTTTACACAACCATTCACACAAACACAGACACACACAACACTAAAGCAATAACCACACAAATTTCCTTGTGCACATCTCTATAATCCAATCTGCTTTTAATCTCTTAACTGTCACCACACATTCAGAATTCACTCTTGAAATCTAAATCTGTTCTATGTATGTCATCATTAAATAACTTCCCAAATCTGAGTAACAGTTACTAGTTAACGTCTGTCGCTATCAAGGCCTCTTAACAAACAGACACAGATCATTTGCATGCAAACTATTCTTTTTTAATCTGGAATCTAAGCCTTCCTTCATTACTTTTATTTATTTTAATTTGGGGGAACAGTTGAAGTGTCTTTATCATCGCAAGCAGGTCCTGGGAGACAAACCAAACTTTTTTTTACATGCAAAACTGCTTTTCTTAATTGTTGTGGCCACTTTGTTTGCTTTGTCCCTCCAGCACAGCATGTGCAGTTTTTATTAATTCTGTAATCAATTCATATTTTTATCTATATTTTATTCTCTTAATAATAATACTTACTTTCTCTCACACTACACCTCAGAAATTTCTCTCTAACACTCAACATCCTTAAGCACACACCCTACTCATGCTTTAAATTCAATTCTCTCATCACATGCATCCTCATTCACAGATTTCGCATTATATGCTTTCTTATTCAATCCTCTTTTCTAGGAATTGTAAGAAAAAATTTCCCCATTCACTTTGGTCCAGACCACCACATAAAACACAACATATAGACTAACAAGACTTACACAGGCCAGTTCACTGAGATCCAGCCCTCCCTATAGGTGCTTTTGGAATCAGATTAAAGGCCTCCTCCCAATTTCCCTGCCCCTATCGGGAGAGTCTTACTCAATCCACAGGCGGGTACAGAGACGCGGAGCGCTCCTTTTCTCTGATAACACCAATAAAGAGCGATCCCTAGCGCTGCCTCCGCGCGTTCTGCTCACGCCTCTCGCGTAGCAATTCATGCATGTACCTCTCTTTCATACGCATATAATTTACAGCCCTTTGTTAGTATATAATACAAAGCTATT